AACTTACAAAAACAAGTAGAATGGATTATGATATGTTATTTGTTTGACATGGTATCATCAAGAGATTCTACGCAACTATAAAAGTCTATTAAAATATTATTTATGGGTGTAAATGAGTTAAAGGAGTTGAGTATTTGTTCGTATTCGATTCGTAAATGTTATATTTGTATTTGGTTCGCTCGTTCAGCGTATATTTGTTTGAAATTAGTTCGTGTTTTAAATTATTTGCGAATGTGATAACCGTCTTTGGTTTTGCGCGTTTAGCTTAAAATTGATTCAAATTATTAAAAAAATTAAACTTAATTTTTTTAGAAGATGCATTCACAAATAACTAAATTAAAAAAAAAATTATTTATCAAAATTTATATTTACTGATTAAAAAAATATTATTTTAAAAAATTTATATTTACTGATACATTATAAAAAATTATCTTGTTCAAGCACGAATCTCAAGGTAATTTAGAGCTAGAAGTTTTGAAATTAAATTTGGTACCATTAATTCGAACTTCAATTTCAGCAAACTGATATTTAAATTGAATATCTCGAAAAGGCGAACCCAATGACACCAAATTCGACCTAATATGAGCCTAAATAGATTCAAATTGAAGACTCGAAACGCATTTGTAAGATTCAAATCATAAAATGGACGACCAAATGATTTCAAAACACGACATGCTTATAGTCGAATCAAGTGGCTCGACAAGCCGGCATGTGTCTTTCTAACGTATATATAATCTTTCATATAACCCTAAAAATCCGATAAATAAGGGCTAAGGAAACACCTAGGGTTATATGAAAGATTATACATACATTAAAAAATAAAAAAAAATACAAGCATAATATTAATAATGATCGATTACAGATTTGGCATGACATGAGCTGTCATGTGCATGCGTGACATCATAACTTCAATATAGCTAGCGATCCCAATTGTTGAATCCTCTAGGGGAGTCTTTACTAGCGAGTGTGCTACGCGAGTCCTTCGGAAAGGATCATATAGGACGAGTCTATGTGGGTGAGTCCTTCGTATGCAAAGGCAAGTTCTTAGGGACTAGTCTAACCTAAATGCGACGGGCGAGTCCCTTAGAGTGATGACATTATGATTTAGCCATTTTTTACATTTAAAAAGATATGTTTGATCATTATAGTTGCATCAAAGTTTGCATTTAGTGCTGGAGGAAGTGTTCTAGATGATTATAAGAGCTTTTTTCATATTTTTACTATTTGATTGGGAGCATAAAGAGGAGTAGAGGAGCATTTTCACTTGGATTGGAGCAGTGAAGAAGAAAGTGGAGTGTTCAAATTTTATATTTAATTTACTTCATAATTTTGTAATATATTTTTTATTTGCATTTTAAAATTGATTGTAATTAAATTAGTTGTTGAATTGCAATTTTTATTCATAAATCAATTATTGTAATTGCGCGGGATGGAATATTCACGACAATAAAGTTCAAAAAAATGTGCATCGTTGTAAGAGTATCAAGCTCAAAATAGAAATAGTAAAAAACACCATAAACGTGGAAAATCCTGAATGAAAAAACTTCATGTCATGCCTAGTTGAAATGGCTCAACTAATATTTGAATATATTATAAATGATTTGTTCATTCTTGAGACTAAAGACGATCAGACACATTAGGGATCTTTTTTTATTACTCTTAGGATATTTTGGCATATTCACAACTTTTTTTTATTATTTTATTTTATAAATAAATCAACTTATTTTAAAAATGTTTAAATTCATTTTTTAATATTTTCACATTTTTAAAGCATAAACATTCAGCCATATATGTAGGAGAAAGCTATTGCTATTATTTTTTTCTAAAATCCTAAAATTATGGAACACAGCCACTGAGGTAAAGTTGTCGCTTTCCTTAAGAGATTCCTGATTTCTCTTTGGGAGTTGGAGATGCGTTAGACTTACAATAATTTAACATATAAAAAAATAATTTAATGCAAAATTCACTATTTAATAAAAAAATCAAGTTATCTAATTAAAAAAATTAAAATTATATTTAAGACTCGGATTTTGTTTGGGACAACTTTCTTACTACTTTTTGAAGTAGCATTTTGGTATAAAAACTTCTTATTTAAAAATTTTTTATTGTAGAAAACTGCTTTAAAAAACAGTAAGAATGTTATCACAATTGAATCATCTATCTTATGATGAATAATTTTTTGTGGACATCGGAAGAGGAGAACCATCCGGTTTTGTCTCTGTGGGTAGTAAAAGCATATTGAGTTGTGCTTTTACTGTTCATGCTGCGCTTTTACTATTCACAGAGAAACAATATAACGGTTATTCACCTCCGGTGTCCGCACAAAATAATCTCTCCTATCTTATGGTGGTGTTGGAAGTTGGGACAGTTTTTTCATTGCTTTACTTTTTAAATATCAATCATTATTTCATTTTACTACTATAAAAAAATTATTTTTTAAAATTTAAATGGTGGAACTTGGCAGTAGTTATTTTTTTTTTTGCAACCAAAATAACTAAGCTGTTTTTCTCATAATAACTTCACAATCAAATTTATAAAAACTGCAAAACATACCATAATTGAGAAATTCCAAATGAGTGGTACCCTAAATGGTCCAAGTCATAAATCCTAATGTTGTGATTCCTTTTTTAGGCCCATTAGGTGCGAATTTATTGATCACAACCTGCCGACTACCTGCTAGATATCTAAAGAGCATACAATCATTGCATAGAAGATATTTGTTTAATTGATTGCTTAATTATTTAACAGAGATGATAATGAATGATTATATAATTATTTTGAAATATAGGTACTACTCTAAATTGTAATTTCTTATTAGCATATATTTTATTTTTTTATATTAAAACTCTATGAATACTTTTTAAAATTGTCAATATTTATCCACCAAGAAAAATTATTTTCCCCACTGAACGCTCAACCTTACCAGAAATTATTCTGTGTGAAGGTGAACACAGCTATATGTTTGGAGGCGAATCAAGTGCAGCCACGTTAGCAGTACCGAGCAGCACCGAGTCACAATACACAACGAAGAAGTGACGTGACACATTTTGATTGGTCTCTCGACGTCGTTCGAAGTCTGCAAAGATTAATTAATCCAACCTCACACATCAGGTTGGACAATTTCATGTCGATCATCACAGACCATCAGCCATCATTTCTTCGTCGATTGCCTTCATGGCAGTGTGGACGGTGGATTTCTAGAGAAAACCAAGTGGCGGAGTCATAGTTTCGTGAAATACGGGGGGATTTTGCAAATTTGTTTAGGAAGGTTACTTTTGTAATATTGATTGATTGGTGTGGTCAAATGAACAGCGTTTGACTCACACGGTTCCGCGGGAGCGTTTCAGTGATTCACGTGGCTTTCTATTTTATTCTATTTCGTCAACTTTCGTTGTAAAATGTTTCCGTATGGTTTTATTTTTATTGTCTTTTTCATGCTAAGAGCTGTACTGAAATGGATGAATTAGGGACCTAAGAAGCAGCAAGTGTGGATATAGGGAGAAATTATTCTGTGCGTAGAAGGGACGTAGAATTTTTTTCGGAGATCAATTAGAATGTGTCACGTCAGCGGTATTGAGCAGGGTATTGAGTGGTACCGACCAATACCGAGTACAAGGGTGACATGACACATTCTAGTTGGTTTCCGAACGATATTCGGTGTCCGCACAATAATTAATCCGATATAGGGAGAGTGAGGAGTGAGGACCCTTTTTTAAGATTTCGTTTAAGAAGACTTTCTTATTGCTTCTTAAAATATTTTTTTAATATAATGTTTTAATTTTTTTGATAGAAAGTTGCTTTAAGGAGTTGTAAGAAAGTCGTCTCAAAGTTTGTCTAAATCAAAATTAAAAAATAAATAAAAATTTAGGCTTCGATCGCGACAATTTTCTTAAAACTTTCTAAAAACAATTTTCTAGTAAAATTTTTACATTCAAAAAAAAATTTTGCTAAAAAAATGTTTCAGAAAGTACTAAGAAAGTAGTCCCAAATAAAACCTTAAGTTTCATCATCGACTGTTTTCTTATTGTTTTTCATAGTAGCTTTCTAAACATTTTTTTTAACAGCAAAAAAGTATGGGTCGAAAGCCCTCACAAATGAAACCTTTGTCGTTAGTGAGATTGAGAGTACTACTACAATTAATTAGTTAAGCTGACTCATAAGCTCGTATAAGCTTTACCGATAAATGGCTCATAAGCTGAATTTAATGAGACGATTTAAATTTGAGTCGGATCGGATTCAACTCGACTCGTTAGCTTACGAACAGAACAGATTCATTTTATAAATATTGATTGGAAAACACTCAAAGATATATTAGAAATTCAAAATATTCAGTATACACTATTAAAAATATATCACATATAAGAAATATTGGCAGCCAAAAGGATTAGAGATGACTAGCTAGAATGAACTCTATCATCAATATGGAAGCACCTCACCTAATACCGACAAAGCAAGGGTAGCTGTTGATATAGGCTTCGTTTGAGACAATTTTTTATTGCTTTTAAGACAAATTTCTTTTTTTTTTTTTGTAACGAGAAAGTATTATCCTTAGGCCAGTGAAAACCCCGCCCGACCTAACATGCAACCCACACTAAAAAAAATGTAGATTTCTTGCAAGCACTAAAATTTCTAATTCAATAAATTTGTTTAGTCTAATATGTTTTATTTCATTATGTTCATTGGATAGAGATGAGCTATCTCAACTATAAATTTATTTAAATAGGTTTCATCTGTTCCCCCCTCCAAATATTTGCACTCAATCTAATAATTTTTTATTGACATATCAAGTGTAAATGGTGATTACATGCCAAAAGATATTTGAAATGGAAATACTAATTTTAACTCTAAAATTATTTTTGTATGCATAATAATAACAAATAAGTTAATGTTACGAAGGATT